AAAGTCGTGCCCGCGGGTCAGCACATCGTGGACCGGTACCCTTTACTCAGGCACGTGCCATTCGCGACGGCAACACTCCGTAGGTGGCACGAGGAGGAGCTTGCGCTGTATACGAGGATGATCGAAGGCGTAAGGGCGCAGATTGTGAGTTTAGCAAGGTTCACATGGGTGTACTTGATGTTGATATAAGCGTTTAGAGCGAGCACAAGGCACAGCCCTCATTCGCCACCTATCTTTTGGAGCACCAAGAGGAATATGGACTGTCGGACGACGAACTGGCGTACCTAACTGGGTCGATGTTCGCGGCCGGGTCAGATTCTGTCAGTCGCCTTGTCCGTGCGACTGCGCTCGATGTTAATATTTTACTTAGACCGCAACCGCGATCTCCTTCGTGATTTTAGCGGCAGCATCTCATCCCGAAATCCAAGCAGAAGTACAGGCGCAGCTAGATAGTGTAGTTGGCAAAGACCGAGGTAAAGTTTCGGTTATAGCGTCTCGATGCGCATGGCGTATCTTACGATTGCACGCAGTTCCTACGTTCGACGACGAGAAGCTATTGCCGCTAGTGGTTGCTTTTTACCTTGAGACCTTCCGTTGGAGGCCAATCAGCTTGGGAGGTGAGCATTTCCCCAGGACTATCTCCCTCAGCGTCGCCTAGAATTACTTTCCTAGGGGTCGCACATCGTGCCACTAGTGATATCGTTTGGGTGCGTGAAGCTCTGGACGTTATAACATATATTGGTTTCAGTTAATCATAATGCTTCCGCAGAACCAGTATGTCATTCCTGTGGATGCTGCAGTTTTTGGAAACCACTGGTAAACAGAATGTGAACGTTCACAAAGTCTATGGGCATTGACCGAATAATTTAGGGCCATTGGGCACGATCCAGATGTCTTCCCAGACCCGGACGAGTTCAGACCAAGTCGGTGGTTGGATACGACAGGCAATGTCCGTGAAGATATCAGTTCATTCACATACGGCTTTGGCAGGAGGTAAGCAGACTTGTCTCTGAGCAGTCGTGACTTCGCTCACGCGAGATTCTATGTTGCATCAGGGTATGCATAGGGCAACACGTGGCCAGCAAGTGCGTACCGTGTCGTCGTATGCCATACGACCCCACTGAATGCTTTCCGTAGCTCGGTATTCATCAATACAGCTCTGCTATTATGGGCCTTCGACATCCGCGAGGATCCTGCGGCGCCGATCGATACGATGGGTTTTACAGACTCGGGTACGGTACGCGTACTGCCGTTCCGAGTGAAATTTTCGCCAAGGATTGAGCACCTGGAGGATATCATAGAGGCGTCCAGACCGTAAGAAGTATGCTCCTTTGCGCAACACAGGCTACCTCCGTGGTAGTGTGTGGTCTCTGGTACAGTCTCTGCGAACGAACGTCGGAGCTGGCAAGGATGGTTCTAGCTTAGAATAAAGAGAATGGTGACCCAGGGAAATAGAAAGTCTGCCCCTCCTGAAGCTGACGAACAAGGGCTTGAGCTCTGCTGTCCTGTGCGCGGACGAGCTGTTTCGTCGATATTTGGGTCATCCCTAAGATGAGAGAAGCAAGAGTTTAAGCACGTGGGAGCGATCGAGGAGAATGGCGCATGGCGCACGTACCTCACAGCAGGGTCGCCGACTTCGTATGCGCAAAATCCGTCTGTGATGGCAGTCAAAACTAGAACACAGCTATGTCAACGTTTGGTGGATGCGTATCAGGCCTACCTAGATGGCTCGGAGGTTTGATGACTCGTGAATCGAGACCAGCTCATCTAATGTGGCACTAGGCAGTGTTTATCGAAGTGCATAGACGGGTATGAGGCAGTATAAAAAAGAGTTCAGGACGTCAGAGACCTGTGCTCACTTCTGCTTCAGTGTGCACAGCCGACTTGTATTAGGATTTCCTAGGAATGCACACTTTAGACGAGAGGCCAAACGATGTCTTCCGGGGGTTAATTTTCACGTACTACTACAAGCCTGTAAAACATTGACTCTCGCAGACTGAACTTGAATATTGCAAGTAAAAAGTATTACGCAGGCACATGCTCTGCTATGCGGCGTACTAATCGATCTTCTAAGAGAGAAGGTGGTGTTTCCCCATGGTAGGCAAGAGGTTGATGAGAGAAAAAAAGACCATTCTCTAGATAGGAGTGGTTAAAGTTTGAGGGCCTGCATGGCATATGGCATGGGCACAGCACCATAGCCTTCGTTCCCGAGAAGGTCCCGACAGCCCTGGAAGTGCTCGACCTACCGTGATCTTGAATCCCCAATGGGCCCACATGCCACCAAGGAAGTACCATCTAAAGGTGGGGTCAAACAGTCAGGTTATCCATTAGCAGCAACCGCGTACAAGAGAGTTCGATAAGTTGTGATGATCATGAGTCCGCAGGTGGCAGCAAAGGTAAGCTCCGCATCTGGCACATATCCGGGGTCAAGGGTAGTCACGAAACTAAAATGTCAACAGGAGGGGCGAAGGCATAGGCACTGTGCGGGTATTTGCGGGTATAAGGGGTATAGCGGGTATATGAGCGCATGGAATAAAGAAGGGTGTGGCGAACGGTGGACGCAGTATCACTGGCGACCGAGAACCGGCAGGACTCGGCCTGGCGGAAGGACAGGGCGAAATCTCGTCAACAGATAATGCAGCAGCCATTACCGTGGCCACCACCAGTAGCGGTAGTGTTGTCCTTTTTGCCTCTAGGCTGCTGCTTATGGGGATCTATATAGAGGGTCAGAAACAACGTCAGCACAGAGATTAAGTGGTAGCACAACGGGCGAACCTGAGGAGACTGAGGCGGTCAATGACGGGTCGTAGCCTGCTTGGCCTGGGACCGTCAGAGACGGCTGGATAGGAGGGTAGTACGGGGTACTGTAGGTGTACGTTGTAGGGTTTGCATCGGGCTCGTTAAACCCAGCGGGTGGGTATGACGGCGCGAAAGTACTGAAGACAGAAATTGGCGTCAGACAAGGTTACAACGCCCAAGGCTTGAGAGCAACCCACCGCGAAGTAGGTTGAGCCATTTCCTGGGATTCTGTGAGCGGGTTGTGGAGGTCTGAGTGGACTTGCAGGCAGGCTATATAACTCCCGAACGGGGTGCCCCGGGGATGCTGATGCGTCGTTCCCTGTGTAATAAGTGCAAATTCGAGCATTCAGCATGGTGCAAGCACAGGAATACAGAGATCCCCGCCCCCAATAGCTCGCATTGCTCGCGGCAGGTACCAAAACTACGCATGGTAGGCGCATTTTGTATGTCGGACCCTGAACACGCCGCAGGCGAGAGGCGTATCAGCTCCACAGACGTCAGGTGACGCCGCTAGTCTCGACTCGCCGACGTTCTTCTAGAGCACACATGAGGCCGTGCAATGTTTCTATAGAACGGGCACACACACATACCCAACATCACACACGTGGACTTACAGCTTGCGCCTCGTATGCAGTAGAGTGGAATCGCTGTTCGAATGTTAAATTTTAGAGACAAAATAGACCATTCGATTGGAAGTTTGTGACGCGACTAACTTTGTGACGCAGGCTCCGCGCCCGATCCGCTCACACAGTCACAGGCCACGGTATCATCTCACCATCTGCGGAGGCTTGAACAGAGAAGACGGAGAGGCCGCTTGCTTCACAGGTTGGACCCTCCATAGATTTCGCTCCACGAAGAGCCCAGCGCCACGGAACGACATGTCATATAACTCCGCGAAAATAACTAGGCTGTGCGCCAAAGTACAATAGAGTCCTGGACAGCTATTCCGCGTAATTCGTAGATCCTGACATGCGATTGCCGTGTGGTATTCCGTTGTGTGATGGCGACGATAATGTGAGAAGGTTCGACCACAAGGTCCGCCAGCTGCATCGTTAGCCATCGGCGTTGAACGTCGAGGGTAGGGCTGGTCAGCGATGAGACAACAGCGCGTTGAAAGGTAACCTTCGGGGAGATAGCGGCTGAAGCGGCGCAAATCAGCTGTACTAATTTGAATGAGAACGACCGCCGTAAAATACGGACGCTTAGCTGATTTTGTAGATAGCGAAGGTGGAAAAGAATGGCAGAATTGGCAGGATCGCTAGAGAACGCAAAGGGAGATACGCACTTCGGTTTCGCGACGCTGCTTATGGGGTCCGCGTACTGTTGTACCAAGTCCTGATGAATATCGATGCATCATAGTCTTGCCACCCGACTTCAGTAATTGAGTGCTCGTAAAAAGAAATGTAAGTACTCAGATGTCGCTGTAGTCTCGAAGGGATCCAGGCGGATCTCTACTACTACCATTGAACTGAGCGAGAGCGCCTCTGCCACGGGGGATTGTAGAGACGTCGGACGTCGGCCGTCGGTGTTACAGCTGGGGCCGAGATGATTCCCTCGTTCAAACCGGGGCGCGAGGCGGCTCTTGGGCGAACCACCCCCTGAATTTGCGCATTCGACGAATCGAGGGGCGGCGGTGACACTTCTGCTGTACCTCTGGATTTCCCAATCGTGTAATTGGCAGGGAACAGGCTTTGTACCGCATGCCGACAGAGAACAGCTCTCTAAGAGAGACTGGTCAAAGCTACCGACGTGGCCGGGAGAAGGAAATAGAAATTACGCGTACGACAGTGGGGCAAGAACAGATATGTTGTCGTCATCGAGCTGCTCCAATTTTTACGGCATCGGGTTCGGCAAGATGTGGGATGTACACTGGGTCGGATGGATGGGATGGCCGCGGTATCGGCGTCGATGAGATGCTGAGGCAATGTGTGTGGCCGCGAGCACAGCCTACAAGGGTAGCCAACGATCCCTCAGGGATTGGAGGGGTGCTTGAGGTCCTGAGGCGTTTCCTCTTGGCCGATGGGCGACACGTTTTGTCGAGGTAGCCCACGTCCGCCGCCGCCGTCGTTGTGCGGTCTGACACAGCCAGAAGCGCCTTCAGGGGATGGATATATGGGACCGCCACTTCCAGTTAGACTGTATAGTTGGGCATAACCTAAAGTCAGCCACCCATAGCGTGAGAATCATCATCAGCGTACCCTTCTTCAACACGCGATCCAGAACTGTCGTCCTACAACTCCCATACCCTACCGCTTTATGCCTCCGGATGTCAGGGCTACTCGAAGCCTACACGCCAATGACAAGGGTGCCTCGCGGCTTGAAGAGAGCAGTTTGAGCAGCGTCCGTAGCTGCATTCGCAGCACTCACATCTGATGGTGTTCAGCTTTGCTTCGTCCTGTATGGATCGCTTACTGCATGATTTTAATCTGACAGTCCCAGCAAAATCTAGACAAACCTGTGAAGATCACGCCTCTCGAGACATGAGCAGAAGCCTGCGCTGAAGGACCGGGATTCAACTGTCTTTGGTATGCTCGAAGGAATGTGGTTCTTGAATAGCGTTATGGCTTACCTCCACTTCTAGAGACACGCTCTGTATTGGAGAAATCCGAAGCTTGCGGGTGTTGAGGTTTTGGTTTGTCGTCCGCGAGGATGATAAGCAGACGGTGAGCGACTCGGTGTTCGGGGTAAAAATTTGAGTACGGGTTTTGCAGCGCTCTCTGACTAGTACTTCGTCTAGTCTTCCATGTAGTGTATCATCTTCAACGAGGCGAGTTATGGTGCAATACTTGAGGAAGCCGAACTCATAAGGCATCGCTGTCAGTCGACGTCTGCAGCATGGTGGCGGCCGCACTGCATACGTCGATCAAATTGATGCGTCCTCTTATTGACCCGCTGATCTCGCCCGACGAATTTGACGCTCTTGGCAGCAGAGCTTGAATTTCGTATTCTCCGCCAGGAATTCGCTGCGAGTGCAGCTAGGTACAGATATTTCACGGGATGCATTAATGTGCGGTGCTTCAACATTAAGGCCGGACCTGAAGGATCGGGCCCTACGCTAGGATAACGGCAGTCAGATAATCATGATGATGACGGCGACACCTGCGCGACGTAAATCATGCACAGGCCTTGCTCGAATGCACGTCCCGCAGACATGACCTAACGATGGCCCCAATAATCACTGCAAATTCCTTAGGCTGAAATCGCACGAGGAACCCGTTATTTTCAAAGAGCTGATATAACCGTGAGTACCTGAGTTAGTCCGCAGCCGATTCAGCTTCTGCAGGTCCCCGGCCCCGCTGCTTGCCCTAGCAACAAACTTACGCACACATGCATATGAAACTATTAAGATGACGCTGGACCTGCGAGGATCCCCAGGCCCCTACGAGGTCTGGATAGAGTAATGATCAGAGATAGGTGTCGGAGTAGCACCTGCGCAGCATAGTAATGATATCAAATTTTCCGCCGTCAGTATCTACACATAACATGCACAAAAACTGCAATAGTCGTGAGTCCTTTTAATAGAGAAGACAGCCGAGTCCAGAGACCAGCATCATATTAGTAGTGGCACGAGTCTGGGTCCAAGAAAGACCATGTGAATGCATATGAAATGCTCGGTAGGAGAGGCGTGAGTATTGTGCAAAGGGGGGTATCAATGAGTGCAAAGGGTTTATGGGCGCACGGGAGAAGTGGTGCATCAAATGAAGCGAAGGCGTAGCAAATCAAGTAAATGCGGCACTTACTGAGATACGACTGAAAGCTGATGCGGCTCGGCGCGGAGGGATGCGTCGCATACATCACATGATGATACAGCCTGAGCAACAGCCTTTGTTGTGGAAGTTGCTTTGAACACTACCAACGGATGTTGGAGGGCGGTTCTGACCTCTACTAACAGATGTCGGAGGGTTTAATATTCCCCGTGGCCGCTGCAGGGGAGAGTCTGGAGGGACGGTCAGATCCGCGCCAGTACAGACATAGGTGCGAAGAACAAATAGACGAACCCAGGGAGGAGACTGATGCAGTCTCCGAGGGATTACAGCATGTCTGCGGGCCCAAAGTCGTCGCAGACGGCTGAATGGAGGCAGCGTAGTAGCAGGAGCTGTACGCATTTGTAGTAGTAGGGTAGGTGCTGGCCTGGTAGAATCCAGCCGGAGGATACGGCGGCATGGAAGCGCTGAGGGCACAAAGTGTTTCAGGCAAACACTAGCGTCCGAGGTTGGAGATAGACTCACTGTGTGTCTGGCTGCGGCATTTCTGGGAACTCCATGTGTGCGACCTGAAGGGAGTCTTCGAAGGTGTGAAAGGCTACAGGGAACCAACGGTACCTGCTTCTGGCCAGGTGTGCCACACTGGCTTATATATCGCTGCACTTGGCGCTTCAGCAAGCAAATATGTTGTTTGCGACATGCACACAAACTGAAATGTGGTCACTCATCACAGCGTGGATAGGCGGTGCAGGAATGCGTACGGTATCAATCCTAGGACGGTGCACTGCAGTGGCAAATAGCGAGTTCGTGCATGATTGGCGTGTTTTCAATGCGAGTTTCGACCATGCCATAGACGAAAAAGAATACAGTGCCTCCTACAGCTCCGCGCCGCAATCCATGTAAATGATCTAGACCGGGGGAGGCTCACATAAGGATGCCCCGATTGAGACCACAGAAGTCGGTATTGCAAGGATCCAGCATGAAGGGCACGTGTTGGACTCATTCCACATACAACTGCACGGTAAGTTGTCACTCACGCTTTGGCTGTACTGTCTTGCGGATCCTGAACTCTCAGAGAGCAGAAGGACGAGATGTGGAATCCGATGCTATACTGTCCAATACTCGGTAGTAGCCTAAGATGCTACTTCAACATATGCAGCATCTTTGCAAGCGAAGGTAAGAAGGTCACTCGTCTGGTCGGTGTTATTAGCATTCATATTCCGTACATAACACTATGAATTTTGCCCCGGGAAGGCCTGGATACCACAAAATGAACTGCGAAGCAACTTACTTGAAAACTTCGCGAGCTGGGCTGTGCGCCAATGAATAGAAGGGTGGCAATAAGTTGTACCGCTTCGTGCAGAGACCCTGAAGCGCGATTGCCTCGTGGTATTCTATTAGCAACGGCGATGATAGCACGAGCACGTCTTTCCAGAAGTTTAGCAACCATTGTCGTTGCAGCAGGTGCAAGAGCGGTCTCAGTCTGCGACGAAAAAGCAGCGTATTGCAAGGCCTTCGACGAGCCGGTAAAGGCTAAGGCAGCACAGAATAATTATGTCGAGTCGGAAGGCTACAACGAGAAAGAAGGACGCACTGAGATGTCACTACTGCCCGGGGGAAATGCAGGTGGGCACTCATCGTTAACGTCATCGAAGATAGCAGCAGTGGACGTCTGCCCCTGCCGTGGAGTAAAATAGTGGCCCGTCCGGCTCGCGTCGAGGCGATTCGCTTCTTCGAATCGAGAACGTGGAAAGGTTGACGGGGAGGTCATCGCTAGGAAGGCTTGTTCAATAAAATGAGGTGCGGCGGTAAGACTTCTAGCATAAGCTTTGATCTCTCGATGCAGGGCGGATGGGGATCATAGGCCTTCTGCAGAATGCTAGTGGAGAGCGGCTCTCCTAGATGGGCCGATCGAGGTCATCAGCGCGACTCGGAGAAAGAGCTTGTGTCACTCACCCAACTGCAATGATACAAGAACAAACACTTCACTGTTATGACAACCGCAGGTCAGGCCTCTTCGACTGAAGTTAGCCTCACCTGCTGGAAGAGTGAGATAGGTTTAGAATCGACCATCGATAGTGGTCGATTGAGCACTAAAGCCATACTGGTGGCTGGGATCACCATGGTAGAAGACGGTCCACAACGTCTCGGATTTTGTGGAGCTCCTGGGGCCTCTAGACGCGTCCCTCCGCTCTGAAGTGTCACGAGAGCTGGCAAGATGACCATTGTGTCAAGGCCGTCCATCTCGTCTACGACCACCATAACCGTGAGGCTCGAAAAGAGAAGACGGGTGCAGTTCGGGCGGAAATGCCCGGGATACCTAGTCAGACTGGGAGAGATATCTAAAAGCAGCTGAACAATCGTGAGAATCCACGTCAACACGTGGCGTACGGGCTTACCCCATAACTGCCATGTCGTCCTGTTGTGCTCTCGTGCTCTTCGCATCACTTATTTATACGTAGACTCTATACTATCTTGAGGGCAAAGACCGCCGGAACTAACAGAACTAGTACTATCTTGGAGAGTATAGGTAAAAACATCGTTGCATTTGTAATGGCCCAAAACACTTCATTTAAAACGGATTTCCTGCTCTGGATAATCGGCGAGTATGGCAATGGCAGAACCTGGAGTTTGCAAGTGAGTACCACCTCTAGGGGCCGCAGGCGAAGCCTGCATCGCGGAGCTAGGCCCGAAGGATATTCAGCTTGTTCTTGCGAGAGTAGGTTTAGATAACGTTCATTGAAATTGAGGATCTGTTTTGACGTCCAAGTACGACTAGGAGACGACGAACGAATTCAGAGTAGAAAATTGCGTACCGAAGAGCGCAAAGCGTCGTTGAGCGAGCGTTAGCACAGTCGCTTAGCGCATCTGGCGCGCATCTGAAGAATTGATGCACCAACGGATCGATTTGATCTGATAATTAGCATCAGCGTTTATCATTCCGGTGGCCTCGCAGGATACCAATCCGGGTGAGCCGGGATGGGTTTTTACACAGCATCAAAGAGGTCAGACGGAGCGTCGTCGCTCTGACTAAAAACGCAATGTTTTAAGCGGGTCGCCCGACCTCTTCTTGAACCTGCGATCACTCACATAACAATGCACAGCACTCAAGGGTCAGCAAAATTATATTCTTCGTCCGTCTCAAGCTGTAGCGTAACGGAACAGACAATGGCTTCATTTTTGACTTGTGCGGATCGACCCTGCATTGCACGGTCTGCACGACTCTTATGATCCTCATAATGGCCGAATGATGCTAATGTACCATGCCATGATTGGCATAGTAAACGTGTCCAAGAGTACGAGGATTGGATGTTAATTGGGAGAAAATCACTTCTGTACTCCCTGATAAAACAGTATACTCAAATGACAAAGTCTGTGTGAATAAGAACCGTAGCATGCTTACCGCGCGACGGCTCTGGGTTCACGACCCACGTATCAGCTGCAGGAGCCAGGCGGCGGCCCTCGGACATAATCGCCATTCCAATGCAGCGCCGCCTAGTGAGCAATGGAGCGGTTCATGAGGGCTTTCCAATTATTCTCTGAACGCTCCGAGGCTACGGGCATGGGATAGACGATTAGGCGTGGTAGAAAATAAATTTGGTTACTCCCGAAGGGAATGCGGCTAGAGGCGCACGACGAAAGCAAACTTTGAATCATGGTAGAGTGTTGCACTAACTGACTTACGTAGGCGCTGTTAGAACGAGCGACTGCGTATCAGTGTGACCGCCGTGTCTGAAGCTGGCCTCATGAATGTTGTAACGGTAACGTGTATCACCGCATTATCGGGCTACAATCTGAGTGCGCTCTAGCTTAACGAGTTACAATGGTAATGGACCAACAGGACCGTGCTGCACGACGCAAATTCCCCCGCACGCCGACGTTCGGCTTGATCAACATCCCTCCCGCTATCCTCGGCAGTGCATTTCCTTTTCAGAACAAATGAAGTCTACATGATAGTGCAGCAGCATCCACCGCGCGCGTCGCGGTCGTCGTCGGGAGGGGGACCTGTGAGCGGAGCTCCGTGTTGTACTGTTGCCGAAGGACGTATGAAGGGCGACATGAGAAATTTATCGCGCTGAAGCTCTATTAATCGCCAGTGCCCGATGGTAACTTTGGTCGGGAGTAGTAGCTTGAGATAGAAGAATACTCACCGAGCGCGGCGCGGAGGATATTCCACGACTATCGAGCTGCCGTCACTGCCCTTATATACACAATCCCAGCCGGATAGCGCGTGATTGCATAGCACCCAGCTTCGATACAGCTCTCACCATCAGCTGCGCTGGTCAGTCGAAATGAGTTTAGCCTCGCTACACACGGCCACAAATGTACAGCCAGAACGGCCCTCTCGTAAATGCGCATCTGCGAGAGTGACAGCAGGGCGGCAACAAGAGTGCTCAAGTTCAATCGACCCGCTTTGATGTTCCCATATTCAGACGTGGCGATGATCAGAGTGGTTTATAAGATGATGCAACCAGTATCACAACCGCATCCATACCACCGGCTAGGCTGGCCAGCTAAGATAAATACCGAGTCCGCAATATCTGCATCGAGATTTTCAGCGCGTGGATCAACTAGACAGCGCGATCTTACATTTGTATTCGCACCACTGATTAGCTTGGCCAGCTAAGATAAATTCCAGGTCCGCAATATCTGCATCGGTTCGAGATTGCAAGTGCGTGATTGTACTCAGCAGCGCGGTCTCACATTTACATACATAAAGTGACCGTCGCTCCCATCTCCCTGTCGCAGGCCGCTTCCTCGTGCGCTGGCGGCGGACGAGTGGGTCACTCGCACCACGAAGGTGATGCAGGCCATTTCCATCATAAGCGCGGCGTGCCAGGATGACATCTGGCCCTACATCCGCTGGATCAGTCGCACTCTTCGGCAAAGCTCTAATGGCCGAATACTACCACTAGTACTCATCGGGAATACAGTTTGGTAAACAAAGCTGTTCGTAGTAAATCCGCGGCCGTTTCCAACGTCGGTGTCTTCGATATCCGTCAACATGGTGTGCAAGCCATGAGATACCTCTGATTAACGCTGATATTCAGTACCCCCGAATACGCTCGCTTCAGAAAGCACTTGAAGCCGATGTTTGGTACGGGTGAAATTATGCGGTAGTACGTCGGAGCGGTCAGTCCGAGAGTACACTCGCTACTCGATAAATTGACGGAACCTCATAGCATTTATAACGCGCGAGGTGTGCTGCAAAGACAAAGGCATGGTCTGCAACGGTAATACAAGGTTGGAAAAAGGACCAACCAGACTCAAACGCACCTGGAAATGGGGCAGACACCGGTTCAATTGGTACTGTCTTGTGGTGACTTCTGCGTGTGGGTTTGCGTGTTGCCGGAGCGCCCGCAAGTTTGCGACTCGGGGGACCAACATCCGGCCAGGTAACCATCAAAGGGCTGAGGCCACACGGATGGAACCTCCGACCCTGCATGTCTACTTGCCGCGGCACCGTACGATAGCTCTGGAAGGCGTTTCCGTGCGAAGAGCGGCGCCGTCTTTAAAGGGAAGCGTCATGTACGTGAGTGTATTATTCGCGCGGACATGAATTGCGCGCGCACCTAGATACCGCGTGCAAGGAAATGATATACATAGCCACTCGACGATGCCTCTGATGAACAAGTACTCGGTGATATCCTGTCCCCATTTGTCCTATGAAGGTTCAAATAGTGGTAGACTTTGTTCCGCGCCGCACATGGCGCGCAATTTTTGTCCCCGCAGGAGTGGAGAAGGCTGATGTAGATGGAATGGAGTTCGTCCGCGGGGACGTAAAGATTCCGGCTGTTGAGACTCGAAGTCCGATTGGTCGCTACGGTATGTAGGCAGGTACCAACAGCCTTTGCGGTATCGCCATTTCGCGCACTATGATCGGTAGAATTGTCGAGCCTCGAGGAATAAAGGCCACGCTTATCTCTGATATTAGGAGGTTAGAACATAGGCCCGGGTGCTGCATGTATCAATCTCAGGCTCTTAACAGTAATAACTCCAAGTGCCTTACTTACTGCCTTGGCTGTCAGCTTCATCTGGGATTTGTGTCTCGTGCCGCACTAAACCGAGTTGGCTGTGGTGTTTTGTGACGTCAACATCTGCGATTTAGGAAGGGCGCATCAAGCGCATCAGCGCATTTTAGGCGCTTGCATGTTTGCATCAGTTGGGGAAAGCAGCTGCGACTCGGTCCTGTACCTCGATGTCCTTTCCCTCATGTCATGAATACGATATGGCTTCCTGCACCTGTCTGCGTTATATTTCGACGTCTCGTCAACGTCGTCTCCTCGCTGTCGATATCCCACCAGTACCTGACCCAGAGGAGCGAAGTTAGCGACACCAACAATACGTGGACAACTCTCAAGAGCTTCGCCTGGCCCCCATGGTCCAACCGCACAAAGTTTGCGCTCGCGATGGATGGGGGTATGTCGACGACGGATTCAGAACCTCAGAGGAGGCCTCCTCCCCGTCCCAAACCAGTCAACCGGCCGCTCGACGCCATACACCGTCTGATGTGCAGCCCCGCGCTGTATGACCCCGTTCGCGCTCCACGTCATCCCATCGCACTTTGCCATGGTACGTCCCCCAGCCTCAAATGCTGCCCAGTCATACTCATATCCTGTAGGTCTCTACGGTTTCGACGTACGCGGTCCCTCGTCGTTCCCCATCCTACGTCAAGAATACTGGTCTAACGTGCTCAACGTCCTCCGCCAGAGGATTGGCGCCGAGGTCATCGTGACTGCTGTTCCTGCTACGGGCTCGGTCACATCGCGCGCCAAAACCCTGCACGATCTGTTGAAAGAACGTGCCCCAGGTCGATCTATCAATTTCATGGCGCACTCTATGGGTGGTCTAGATTGCAGGCACTTAATATCCCATATCAAGCCCACTGAATATACCCCCGTCTCTCTCACTACTGTCGCCACCCCTCATAGAGGTAGTCCGTTCATGGACTGGTGTACGGTGCGTGCTGTGCGTCACGGGGCTCTTTCCAATGCTCACTGTGCACCAGGATAATATCGGTATTGGAAAGCTGCGCCAGAAGGAGCGAGAACTCAATGCTCTAAGGAATGGTATGCTTGGGTACCCTGAGTTGACACCCGAGAAAGACAACGAAGGCTCATCCAAGTCAACTATCTCGCTCGCTTCGCTCCCCTCATCCTTCACTACCCTTCTGCTCTCCTTACTCGACTCCCCGGCGTACGCTAACCTCAGCACGACCTATCTCCGCGAAGTCTTCAACCCACACACACCCGACGACCCGAAGGTACGCTACTTCAGCGTGGCCGGACGACTCAGCTCCATGAACATCTGGCACCCACTCTGGCTGCCGAAGATGGTCCTCGACGGCTACGAGGAGCGCGAACGCGAGCGCCTTGGAGGGCAGTGGCGCTATGAGGACGGCGGCGGAGGTGGGGCAACGACGGCCTCGTCACCGTGCAGAGCGCGAAGTGGGGCGAGTTCCTCGGCATCCTCGAGGAGGTCGACCACTGGGAGCTGCGTGGCGCTCGCGGATTCGAGCTCGGCGTCGACTTGCCGTGGGGCTCGAAGGGGAGCGAATACAGTGGCGTCGGCGACGAACGCGAAGGCTGGGGCCTTGGCGATTGGGGACGCCTTGTCCGTGCGTGGAAGAAGGAGGAGAAAAAAGCGCGGGATGCGGGTGCTGCCGTCAGCGAGCGCGAGGAGAGTGGCCGGGCTCGCGGCACCGACGAGGGCCGTGCGAAGGCTCTTAATCAGTCTGCGAAAGAGAAGGAGCAGGGTTTCGTTGACGAGGTCGTCAAGGCGTCAACTGAGAAGGTTTCTGCGATCTTCGACTGGATAGTCGAGCAAGTCCCGTCACGGAACTCTGGCCACGCTCCGCAGCCACAGAGCCTTTCCGCTGCGCTGGAAGCGAAGGAGGCGGAGGAGGCGAAGGCGCAGAAAGCATCAGCAAAGAGCGATCTTGCTACCAAAGCGGACTTGGAACGTTTCTATGTCGCTCTGTGTAGAAAGCTATATGATGAAGGTTTGTAAACCGCAGCCGTGGGTACTACGTGAGAGCAGGCATCACAGCTCGGATTTCGTGGGTACCCTAGTCTCTTTTCCTTCCGTCTCTCGACCCGGCCCGCCCGCACAAAGTCAGACATCAAACTTTGAGCTTAGTTGGTAACAAACACGCCTACCCCGCGTTTTTTTCATTCCCAACCACCATCTAGCCATAACTACACGGACAATGCCACCACACCGCATCGCACAGCCGAAGCTACATCGCCTTCGCCATCGCTGGTACATTTGGTACCATCTAAACAGAGCTGCCCTTAGTACCCAACTCAGCCGCGGCATTTTTTTGCACGTCTCCACAGCCTTGGCTGACAGATTCCTAGGAGGCACACCCCGCACTCCACAACACTCTGCGGTGCTCCGGATCGCTCTGCGCACCCACGACCGTCTGTTCTCGAGCTACCCACATCGCGGCTTGCACCCTGGACGCCGCGAACATGCCTGATTTCCATCAGGCGGCGTAAACTGGTGGGCTGATCTTCCGTGATACCAATGCAACACTGACGAGCTGGCTGAGCCGCAGGGCGGCTGTGATAATTGTGCGTCTGCGCGATATTGCAGCGTTCGGCCTAGCATGACACGTTGACAGCCCGTACGGTTGTCCCCGCGCTGACGGTTCCGCAAAGGTGTCTTCGTCCCTCCGTAGATAGCGCCCCTACCGGCACAGGAAATGCGCGATCGGCCGACGTCTCCACGTCATTGGTGCGCCTTTCCTTGCCCAAGCAAAGCTTCCTCACTGACAGGCCTGTCAAGATTTTGTGTACAAATTTTTGTAACGAGGCGATGAGCTTCCGTTGCGTTCTGAATGTACGGCTAAGTATAACACCTGCCGGACGGACCCATCCTGCTTCTCACTTTCCCGATGGAACTGGATGCGACAAATCGCGTAATGTCGATATTGGGACCCTTGGCCGATGGCATTGTCCCCAGTCATTTTGCGGCCGCAGGTCTGAATGGCGCACTTCGTTAGTTCATATGCCCATTGCTGCCGCCGCTTCCACGGTTCCATGTCAACGGCCTCCACATCATGCGGTCCTTGCTGCCAGTGGCTGGGGGTGGCACTCTAGGACCGCCCGCGTCCTTGGTTTCATATTATGTGACGCCTGCCCTCAGTGCGCCGCTTATTCTAGTTAGGATCGGCGGGGGCTGTGAGCGTTCCCCGCACTATAAAAACCGACTCTGCCGACTCTGTTGCTCTTCGTCACGACCGCCCCCGCCAGCATGTCCGACCCGTACTACTCTCAACAGTATCCTAACGGATCCTTGTGAGCTCCCTGCGCTTCGACACACTTCGCTTCTCTGACATTCCCTCGTGTTTCGCACAGCCCTCCGCCTTTTCAGAGCCCCCAGACGTACTATTCTCAGCCAGGCACAAGCTATTACCAGCCCACCACGCCCCCTAACGACCAGTATGGCACGTCAGGGTACTATACCAGTGCGTCCCAGAGCTATCTTTCAGGAGCGTCGTTAACGAACCTGTTCTTAACGTTAGATGACCGAGGCCAGGGAGACGTGGCCACGGCGGTAGTGCACAACGCCGTTCGGCCGACTGGTCCTGTTCCACAACAGCCTGCGTCCTATCCACACCAGGCCGGGACTTATCCACAGCCGGTTGAAGAAGCAAGCTGCCTCTCCGGATGCGTCATTTTCTGAGTGCGTGTCGGTGCATACACGGGAAAAAATCCTACCTGTGCGCGGCGCCAAAAAGCGGTGTTGTAATCTTCTAATGAACACAAGCTTACATTAGCTACTACCATGCTCTCACCTTCTTTCCGTCTCTGTTCCCAGATTTCGGCGGTCTCCTCCACCTTTTTTTGTCTCGCGCAAGCCTCGTTATGCTATACGAATTGTAATATTCCCCTTCTGTCCAATTCCTATCCCTAGTAGAGCCGCTTGGATCGTTCCTCCAGCCCAATGACAACCATTCGTGTCTATATCGACGTCATATCGTCATGCTGGGCGTCTCGGTCGAGCGGGGTTGCCCGACGCCGAGCCAAAGACGCTTATTTGTTACCTTTGAGCGTGCCCCCTGCAGGGACATCATGAGGCACGCCGCACATTCGGGAACTTGCTCGGATGTTGTCATTGATACGGTGCCGCCAACGCCAGTACAAAGGTGACTCCGGCTGCTGCACTTGTGCACTGGCTTACACTTATTACTGTCTCGCAGACTATACTTATGGTTCCAACTCAAATGCCAGCCTCTTTATGAACGCACGCCCGACTGAGCTCTAGTCTGAGACGTATCTCACACCCCTTGGTAAACTGTATCGCTGAACAAAGAGCTGCGCGCACTATTGCTTCAGCAGTCTCCATTCCAGCGCTTGTATATATGCTGTACGCCAAATCTCGACACCGCCTGCAAACGTGGAAAACACGAGGGTGGAAATCAGACAAACTCCGATACGCCACCGGGTAGCAGACGTCCGTTTATCGCACACGCCGCGAGTCGGATAGTCTCAAGAGAGGCTAGTTGAACCCGTTCTAGGCTCGCTGTCCATGTAATGTCAGTGTCGGAACCTGCCTATAACCTGACGGCTACTGATAGAGTCTAGTCAAGTCGCTTTGCATGAGATCCTAAGGGCGTGCGCCGGGTCGGAGAGCTCCACTGCCGTGGATGTCGGGTTCATGCTGCGTCAGAAAGTTGTATAAGACGCTAGCACAGGCTACTCTTCTGACCACAAACCCAGTCTCAAGCTCGCCCCAAAAATGCAGAACGGGCAGTATATTCCCTTCCCAGAGGCGACACACCCAGAGTGAGTGTTCATTACGAGCACTCAACAAGACGCTAACATCTGTGCAGTATGCGCATCCGCCCGCCTTACTACCCTGCAATAGCTTCAGGCTATTCAGCGAACTACCCAGTGTCCTCTGGTCTCATCCAGCCAGCGGGCAATGTATACCCGTCTCAAAGTCATCCAGTAGACTTTGTCGTGAACCGAAGCACAGAGAGCACTCCCCAGTCATCTCCCACGATGTCTGCAAATTCGTGTCCGTCAGACACACAGTTGGGTGAGCACCGATATGAGACGCTCATGTTCACAAGTCTGAGATTTCCCCGTTACGGCAGATCGTCCAAGTCCTTCCCGAAGCCGAGGGCTCGCGCTTCCGCCAACCGCAGTGGCACCCATATCTTATCCATCGCAACACACTGTGATGACGTCTGTATCGCAACCGTCTCCGGCGGACGATCCGGGAACTACTCCATTTTTGGATCCTGACGAGAAAACCAAACAAGGCTGTTGCTGTCTCATCATGTAGACCAGTGTTAGGGATTTGTGCCTTAAACTGGGTCATGTCGCTGACATACTTATAGTGCAGGCTCTAGTATGCACGCCGTGCCAGTTTTAATGCTAGATTTTACCATTTCGCTTCCACGATTCATACTCTGTAATATCGTAGACTTTTTCCATTGAAGCCATAATGAATTATCTGCGCAGACTTCTCGACCATTGTTCCATGGCCTTCGAGGTGGCTGTGTTCAAGTCCATACATTCGGCGCTCAAACCATGCGATTTTTGAGCGTTTTCAAGCAGCTCTTTTCAGGCAAAGCGGCCAAACTCACGTCCGTGCTTCGCAGTGGCGGTGCCGGCGTCATGACGCGCTACATTTCTCCGTAGGGCTCTGACCTTTCCATGCCGGAGGCCATATTGACCCTTCCCGTGCTGTAAACACAACATCCAGGATTCAATGCGGCATTTCAAAGTCATTCTATGCCCAACAGCCCGCGCACCACGACTCTGCACATAGTACGAGAAGCTTATACAGCGGGTCTTCATTAATTTCTGGAGAACGGCTTCCAAAAAAAAACGAGCCCTGGGCCTGTCACTAAGTGCCACCTTGATGGAGTATTCATGGCCCCAGTTTTCTGCGCTGGGAAACGCTGATGCGCGTACCACGGCTCGCTGGCAGAGTTTCTTTATATGACTGTGCCCGCGGCGCCTCCGCGGCTTTCTCCGAGACCGCGGAGTTTACCGAGAAAACTGTATAGTCACACAGTGACCCGTTGAAGCCACCTAGGCACAGACCCTCATGCAACAGTAGCCTTACGGGCCTTTATAAACAGGTGGAAAAAATTCCACCTAGACATAGATTCTAATTGGCTCAATTTCCGGCCTCGTCGAGGCGCCAAGCTCTCGTGGGTGGCGAAAATGGAGAATTCACAGCTCCGCAGCAGGTTCCCCGCGACGCTTACTATTCGATGTAGCGTGGGCTGCCCCCGGCACAGCGAATGTTTCCCATAACTTCCGCCCAGCTGGAAATCAGGACATGCGTCCTAATCAGTGTCTGCCGTATCTCATTGTAACTTGTTGACATTCATAACTCTTGATAGCGACGCTTCGTGCACGGTGATTCAGCTCATCTCGCGGATGGTCCAGAGCAGAATAACCCGTTTTGTCGTCGTCCATTCGCCTCTTGAATCCCTGACATATGCCCCCTCACTCCGCACTCGCCCATCTGTTGTGACCCGACAGGACTGAGAAGGCGAAGAGGCCAACTGCCTAGGGTCCGTGGCGGATACTGGGGACGCTGCAGGTGATTGCTCTTGTTTTGGACCTCTCTTGTGATATAGGAGGGCGTATATAAAGGAGGTGTATAGCTTACGGTCTCTCAGCACTTTCGATTCCTGCTAGACCGTTGACGCAGACTCTTCTCTTCTCGGAGATAGCAAATAATGTCTGCGGTCAACTATTATGGCGTCGCTACTCCTGAACAATGCTATTACCCAAAGTCAGCCGGTCTTAGGTCTCACGCTGATAACCAGAGCTGATAACTGTTATTGGCTAAAGCAGCGCTCCTAGCTTCCCCGATGAATACAGCAACCCCCAGCCGTACGGATACTCTTTCTCAGACCAGAAGTAAGCCTCGCACTTTGACCTCCCAACAACGGCTTATATATTTTTAATCCCAGCTACAGTCCTTCTTCACAGTCACAGTCAAGTTACCACACAAGGATTGACCACCGTCTAGATCTCATTTCTGGACCCAGCCGCCAAAATGGTCGCTATATCATGCGCCGAAGCACCGAGAGCTTCGCCGATTCGTATGCTCCCACTCCCGCATATACCTACCCTTCATCCGCATCGCAGAGAGGTCAGGAATAATCATCAGAGTAGTAGTCTAACAGCTAATCATCGGCTCATCAGACCATGTCATCAGACCTCGCGGGCATATGAATTATCCGACCGCGGATGCCAGCTTGTCGCAAGAGCCTGAGAATTGTTGCAAATTTTGTGTTATCATGTAGAGGGCAGGCTTTGATATAGCTCGCATATCATATTATAGATTGGAGGCAGATAACATACTGTATTTTTCAAAGGTTACTACAGAAGATAAATTCAAGTTGTTATACTGCTGGGATAAACCACTTAACCCCGCCGAGCGCCGCCTCTGCCGAGTCTTCCTGTAAGCAGGTCGAGCCTCGGTGAGTTGCTCGACTTGCGAGTTGGGCAGAGGCTCGACCTTCGTCTAGAGTCCGTCATGAATGCGTTCCCGGCGTCGGAGTGCTTACCGAGTCTCATCCTTCAGGGAAGTGACGGAACTCGCGTATCACGATCTCGCGTAGACATTGGACGTCGCTGGAGAGGAAATTTTGACTGTATAAGTAATCCAAACTTATCTTGTTTACCAAGTCGCTCTGCAGTAATATTCGCATCGGAGCAGCAGGATACCTAGTCTCCAAAAACTAGACCTCTAAATCATTGCGTTGGAGCGATTAGTCTCCGAAATGTTCTACACTACTCCGAGGTATATCGCTAGGAGTTTTGGTGGCACATAAGACGAATTTCTTAGTCTATATTATGCCGGCTGAGGAGCGGAGGGCCACAGATGCAATGGAAGACTCGACATGCGAGGCGACAAAATGACAAGTCGGGGCGTTTTGCATGACCGTATCTCAGCAGCATGACCATCACCGAAAAGCCTCGCGACGTACCGAGTAGAGCATGCATCGGCTGGTCTTCTCTTCCCTGCTCCGTCGGACTTGAAAACTCCGGAAAGATGTTCAGACTTTCATGCCACACACGCAGCAACAAAAATTCTGGACGTTCCAAGATGCTTCAAGTTCGCACGAGTACGTCGGTCGTCAAGGTACGGGCGCTTCTTGCCGCGCCCCTCGTGGCGTTGCGCATCGGAAGTAAATCTCTAGTTACCGTCCGCTCTCATTTCATTTTGCTTCCGTCCAGGCCCCGAGCCGTTGCAGAGATAAGGTAGAATGGAGGTGGAATAACAAGTTTTCATAGCATCACGCAACCCCACTGCCTGTGCGACCGTGGCCTATGGATGGACCGAACCTTGTGGTAGGGCGTGAGCATATCATCTCGGACGTAATTATGCATCAGTCAGTGGCTTTTCGCCTCCTTCTCTGTGACAAATCTAATGTTGACGACTGCGGTGAAGATTGAGAACTTGAGCATTGTTGCGTCGCAGTCAAGGTATCAACGTCAGATGCTTTCTGCTCGCAAGTCATCGCCCAACCAAGCCGAGACTCCTCCTTTGAACAACAAAGCCTCGTCTGATTGTGGAAAACAATACATGCGACATCTGCGATCCGCATCTCCCAGGAACGTCGGGAGATGGTCAAGATATGAAAGATCGCGTTGCGAGGTCCATAGTAGACCATAACGACCGGTTGTCAAGCAGGCCAACCGGCCAAAAGCTTCACCCATTACGTCTTGGCACGCTGTGTCTGATGCTCGGAGAACTATAAAGTAATGAGCCACCATCCACGTCCGCTTCCTCAGCTTGACTGCCCCCTTCATCTCTCCTAACTTTCTCCTTTCCCTTCACCCAGGTCGGACGTACAGTGTACTCCGCATTGCGTTGACGCAGCAAAGTCTTGACATTCATTCACTTTACTTTCCTGTCTTTCTTTTGCACCTGCACTTCGTCTCTGCCAACTTCAGTCTTTACACTTGCTCAACATGAAGTTTGCCACCGCCGCTCTTTCTGCCGCCGCGCTCCTCGCTGCCTCCGTTTCGTCCGTTCCCTTTAGGAGAGATGTTCCGGTCGACTTGGTACCGCAGTTTGGTGTCAATGCCGGTGTGAACCCTGACGGCACTGGGTGAGTACATGTCTTGGACTGCGGTGGGCAGCCTTAGCTAATCCTCTTCTTAGCAACTGCGACGGTATTCCCAACGCTCAGGGTGTTCCCATCAAGATTCCTTGCTCTTGCCCTCCGGATCGCGATAGCTTCATTGCCGTACGTTCTCATCTTCGAACTCTGTGCCATCTCGATCGCTGATCCTTCATCCAAAGGAACTGAACCAGAACGTCAATGCTGGTCTCGTGATCAACAACCCATCTGTGAAGCTGTCCTTCCCGACAGACAACTCGATAGCATCCCAGCAAGCGCGTCTGAATGCGGCAGCCGTAACCCTCCAGAACCTGAACGGCTCTGGCGTTGGCTGCCCCATCGTGTCAACAACCTTCACCGCCCAGGGCAACGCGATCAACGCCGGCCAGAACCCAGCCACTGTTGTCGTTCCTGGCCCCGCCGCCGCCACTCCCGGCGCGCCTGCCCCCGCGAGCACTTCCGCGGCTGCGGCCGCTCCCGCGCCAACTTCTGCGGCCGCTGCTGCTCCCGCAACAACCTCTGCTGCTGCCGCTGCGCCTGCGACGACTTCCGCAGCAGCTTCCGCCCCGGCGAACAACGCTTCTGGTAGCGGCACTCCATCTGCGGCGCAGATTTCTCAGCTCGCTCCCGCGCTCGGGTTCCAGGCTGGCGTCAACCCCAGCGGTGAGTAACTTCACACCGCAGAATCACGATCCATCTGATTGAGATGGCATCTCAGGCACTGGTAACTGCGACGGCGCTGTCAACGGCGCGAATGGCCAGCCCGTTCAGGTTCCTTGCTCGTGCCCGCCTTCGCAGGACGTCTACATCGCCGCGCTGACGACCAACGTTGAGGCCGGCCAGGCCGTCAACAAGTACGTGCTACCTCCACCGAGTTCTCGTAACGTACACTGACTGTTGTCCTCTAGCCCCTCGGTTGCTGTCACCTTCCCCACTGGCTCGTCTAACCAGGACGTCGCTGCGCGCGTCGAAGCTGCGATTGTCACCCTCCAGAACCTCAACGGCCCTGGTGTTGGTTGCCCCGTCGCATCAACGACTCTCGCGTCCCAGCTTGCGGCTGCTCAGCAGTAAAGCGTTTGTGATCCTTTTTTCCGGGCTTCGTTCAGGTTCTTTTGCTTGGGAACATACCTTCAACCTTTTGTAGCGGTAGTGTCATGAGTCGAATTTAATGGTGCTAGCCACCTGGGTTATCGAGATGTCTCTGGCCTGCCACATCTTTGTTTCTGTGCTGCAATGACTTGTGCAACGTGAAGGAGAGCTTCGCCTCGGCGTCTTGTCGCGAGAAATGGGGGCAGGGTTGATAGACCCTAACCTTAGTGACGCAACCCAGGCACGGTACTAGCTCGGAGCCGCCCTCCGTTGTCTATAGAAAGTGTCGTGCACGAACGAGAGGAGAGTTGCGCACAATACCCGGCTTTGTCAGTCTTATGTGGCTGCGCTTATCCGGTACTACCCAGCGGCTTACCAACGGCTTGCGGTAAGCGAATGCTGAGTCACTATACTCACGGTCAGGTGGGCACGGCGGGCTCCCGGATAAATACATGAGCGCAGGTCCGGAGCAAGCCGAAGCACGTCCGTATCTTACGCGACTCTTCGCAGCGTTTCCTTCGCGTTTGGTTTATACGCTCGTCGGACAATGCCAACTGCCCCCGTGGACGATAAGGGCACGGTCTTTTACTACGAGGACACGGGCGCGCCAAATGGACTGTCTGACTATTTGACTGTCGTCCTAGTCCATGGGTTAACCTTCCACAGCGGTGAGGCGGGTGCGTACTGCGACCATGGCTACTCATTAAACGAGTCCCAGGCGCGTTCCGCCGTGTACTGCCATACGCAACAACGTACAATCTACGTTTCGTCACTGTCAACATGCGCGACTACCCTGGCTCCACGGGCTACACCCCCGAGGAGCTCAACGCATTCGCAGACCCAGATTTTACTGTCCAGGACGCTGCTCTCAGGACGCATGGTGAACAGCTCGCTGCGTTCCTTGAGTATCTGGTTAGGAGCCACGAAATCCAGCCTATCGAGACCGTCAACGGGAAGAGAACGAAGGGCATAGCACTGGTTGCTTGGTCCATGGGCAATCTCTTAACAATGACATTCCTCGGAAACGCTTCAAAGTTCTCCGCACAGAGGACAGCATTCCTCGCGAAGTATCTGCGTACAGTCGTCATGCTTGGTGCGTTCGTTCTGCATGCTACTTTCTCCTTCACGATCCGGCCACTCACCACTTTGTCCACTTAGACACTTCTAATTCAATCCTGGGACGTCCGCCCCCAGGGGAAGGGGTCTACCATCCGCTACGCGACACGTCCAAGTCTGTCAAAGAGCGGGGCGAGATTTTTATTCCTTGGATATCCACCTACTTTGAGCAGGCTCCTCCGCTCGACGAGGTCACCGTGTCCCTGCTTGCGGCGCGCGGCCGCACAAAGATCCCTCCAAGCGACCTACGATCGAACGTATGAGCAAGGACGAGCTCGAGAGCATCACCGACGCCGGGGTTCTGGAACGCTCGAGCATGAAACTCTTCCAGGCTTCGCGGGATGTTCTGTACCCGAACGTCCTGCGCGCACTCGTTGACACCCAGGGCGTTTGGCCAGACGTGAACGTCCTCGTTTTCTGGTGCGATGAGTCAATGCACGACTGTATCTGGGCGGCGAAGTTTATCTCCGACTTGGGGCGGGCGCCATCTGCCGAGGGCAAGCAGAAGAGGCGGATTGACGTCGAGCGTCTCTGGGGTGTAAATCACTTTGTGAGTGTAGCCTCCTTTTTACGAGATAATTGACTGATCACATGTAGGTTCACTGGGATGCTCCGGAGACGTTCGTGACGGCGTTAACGATGCGACTGTAACTCACGAAAGGGTATTAAGATGGGGATGGTTATACGCATCTCGGAAACAAGTGAACCCTCAGAACGGTAAAGTTTTACAATACATATGAACTCGAAGTTCTTCTCCCAGCAACATTAATCGATGGCTATGACGAGCTCGTGACCTAAAGGGCCAGCGCGAGGCCCGTTGAAGCGGTCTGTTACACGCAAAATGCCTTCGAACCAGACACGGTCGCCGCCTCCAGCATAAAATTTTGGCCAGACTACCGCCCAAGCAGCCTAGCGAGCTTAGCTGTTTGATCCATCGTCACACTGAGCCGCCGTGAGGCATAAACACCGGTGGCCTGCAATGGGGCGTAATGGTCCCAAGGCACACGGGATGCACAGTGTCCGATCACAGTCATGATCTGGAACTGATCGAGATGCACACGGTGCCTACAGCAGTCATCCACCGCAGCGTGCGACAGGCAGTTGACGCTACGCGCACGGGAGCGGGCCAGCTCTGGTCATTATGCCTCCTCCTTGCGTGCTGATCATTGCCTGGCTCTGTGGCGCTGCCGACGGCCTGACGTATCCGCCTTGATTCTGGTTATGCCTTCCATTAATTTTAGATCATACGGCTTTCATTCTTTCCTCAAGTCACTGGTTTCTTTATTCTAAGCTAGATTTACCTTTGCTAGCCCGATGTTCGTTCGCCGAGACTATAACGGAGGCCGCATACTACTACAGAGCCAGTCTTACGGCTTGGATGCTTCTATAATATCTTCCAGATGCTCGATCCTTGACGAAAATTTCACCTGGAACGGCAATACGCGTACCGTCCCCGAGTCTGTAAAACCCATCGTATCGAGTGGCGCCGCAGGATCCTCGCGGATGTCGAAGGCCCATAATAGCAGAGCTGTATTGATGAATACCGAGCTACGGAAGGCATTTAGTGGGATCGCATGGCATAAGATGTCATGGTACGCACTTGTTGGCAACGTGCTGCCCTATGCATACCCTGATGTAGCGTTGACTCATGCGTGAGCGAAGCCACGACTACTCGGGGATACGTCTGCTCACCTCCTACCGAAGCCGTATGTGAATGGGCTGATGTCTTCACGCAATTTGCCTGTCGTATCCAACCATCGAGTTGGCCTGAACTCGTCCGGGTCTGGGAAGACATCTGGATCGTGCCCGATGGCCCTGAGTCATTCGGTTAACGCTCATAAATCTTGCGTATGTTTACATATTGCTAACCAGTGGTTGCCGAAAACTGCAGTGCCCACAGGGATGACATACTGGTTCTACAGGAGCAGTTAAATTGACGAAGTTATAGTGCCATATCGCGTTCAGAGTCTCACGCACCCAGATGATATCGCTGGTAGCACGATGTGCGACCCCTGGGAAAGTAAAGATATGCAACGTTGAGGAAGAGAGTCTCAGAATGACGCTCACCTCCCCAGCTGATTGGCCTCCAACGGAAGGTCTCAAGGTAGAAAGCAACCACTAGCGGCAGTAGCTTCTCGTCGTCGAACGTAGGGACTGCGTGTAATGGTAAGGTATATTAAGCACCCCAAGACTCAACAATTGGTCGTTTACCTCTGTCTTTGCCAACTATACTGTCCAGCTGCACCTGTATTTCTGCTTGAACTTCGGGATGAGTGGCCGCAGCCAAATCACGAAGAGATCGCAGTTGCAGTCTAGGCGAGTTAGCAACACCGAGCACAGACGAGCGAACAGAA